ATGAAGTTGTTTGTACAAACTGATTTGTTTACAATATAAAGGTATTTTGTGACATAGTATATGGTGTTCCAATGAACGGAGATTAAAAATACATTTTTAATCTCAGTTCATCACAGTACCATATATTAAGCACACATTTGATTCTAATATTAACTAGGCTCTGCACACAAGGTGTATAATTGGAAAAAGACTGAGAAATCAAGAAAGATCATTGTAGACAACTCCCATGCATATCAGTTATTTTTCAACTTTAGTAAAAGATACTTGAGTTTTGAAATACAAAAAACAAAATTAATTAACACATTTAACAAGTCAGTGGACAGCATGCTTTGTTAAACTGCAATGTAGCAGAATTTAGCCTACATAAAATAGGTATCAAAATGAAATCTGTAAATTTTAGGGACAGCTGGAAGCCTGAAATAAAGTCTTAAAAGGTGCACAGGACAAGAGATCCAGACAACAACACTGCTAGGTTATTCAGTTTACAAAGGTGTTTGCCATTAACTGCTCTGCTTTTTAGAGGCTTAAGGACCGAAAATAAAAACTCAACATTTAAAACTTCATAGTTCTACTCTGACTTTTTAAAATAAGGTAATGATAAAAGTATTTCTTCTAGTAGCATGTATATTTCAGCTGTGATTGGCTGCCTAATAGAGTTCCTTTATGCATACGAGTAAAATCATGTCCAGTTTTGCCATTTGTGGATAACGATGACAAGATACAAAAGCATGCGTTAGCCATAAATAGCTCTGGCTAAGGGAGGATTGCTCACACTGAGCAGATCAAATTCTCTATAAGGAGAGCAGTATTTGGCCTTTAGCCAAACCATGTCCCTGATGCAAGAGTTAGTAGTGGAAAACACTTTCCAATTCTTTTTGCACAAAAATTAACAAGTTGAACCATTCGTTTAGAATTTCTTAGACGGAGGCGGTGTTCCTCCAGCATTTGTAGAAACAAAGAAGATTTAACTATTCAAACCCTATAACTCACTTGTGTGAAGGTAAGCTCTTCCTGCCATTACACATCAGATTGGAAACAAATGTTACAGCCATACATTTCTGGCATATAGAACTTTAGGAGAATTCAGGTAAAGAAATATGTTGCCCGGGTAACAAATTCCTACATTGTAAACTTCAGATACAAACGAGTTATGGATTGAATGCTCCCTAATAATGGCAGCTTATTTACTTAAATGGTTATAAACTGGGAAGAGGTCCTTTATCCAATCAACAGAATAGAACAGTTAAATTACTGTAAAGCAATGTCTAAATTATGACTAGGGCAGAAAAACTATTACTGAAGTTGAGATTAATGATTGTTTACCTTTATAATACTTTCCATAGAAGTTAAGTTATTCAAAATATGCTTAATTTAAACATACTTCAAACTATATTTTCCAATGAAAACAAGGCAACATTCTGTAATAAGCCACAAGTTTTATTGCAACGTGGCCAGGTTTTTTTTTTTTTTGATTTCAAAACAGTGTTCCATTTAAGGCTCTTTTTATACAGAAACTGCCATCATGACTGATGTTTTACAAAACAACTTTAGTGTTGCAAGACTCACATGGTAAACATAACTCCTACTCCTGTTCAGTAGTGTACATTCAATGGAAAACGAAAGGCATCAGAACAGCTACTTCATTTTATAAAGATATGCATGTAACAGGAATGAAAACCAAGGTACTACAATTGTTTGATGACACAGTTACAGCAACTTAATTGGCATTTCTTTGGGGGGAGGGGAAGAAAAAAAAATCAAACATATTACAAAAAAGTGCTTTAAATGCATAGTGTTGTGTGCTGCCATGTCACAAAAATAGGCTTGTCAAGGCAGGTGAGGTGTATGAATGCACAAGAGCCTCATGGAACTGCAATCAAGTGCAACTGTAAGTATACTGAATAGAGTCTACCATCTGACCAGTGGATAATGCTTTCAAGGCATTCACTTAGCTTACCCTTTGCTGTTTGCTAGACTATTCACATTAACTATCACATTCATTGTACAGGTTGCAAGGAATGCATGCAACGTCAGTTCTGGCTAAGAGTATGACATGAAGGCATTCCTTGGGGTCTACATAAAACTACCAGGATTAAAGAATCAAATGGCAATCACCGGTAGACAGTTTAATTTAATGACATCTCCTTCAGGTCTGTAGAAAGGTGAATGGGGGGGAGGGGAGGAGGAGTTATACTATTCCAATTGAATGAGCTGCAGAAATGGAAGCTCCTTAGATCCAGATGGCACTTGTATGTCTTTCTATAAGGGTTTTCCTTCAAGTGAAACTACCACATTGCCTCCCAATTTCTCTGCGAGTGTTGAACGGTCCTTAATATCATCCAAACCATTTACTTGCCACTCATGTTTAATACCTGAAAGACAAATGGATAAAAATATATTTGTTCAGTTCCTCAATGCTGAGAAGAACTGTAACTGCTATGTAGAATATCAGATGCCTGTACCTGTAAATTTCTTTTTAATGGCATCTTTAGAGCTTGCGTAGATCATCTTGCTTTTTAAAGGTGCACTTTCCGGAGCCCTGTAAAGGCAAAAAGTAATTATTTAACCCACTAATATTAGAAGGAAAATGTAAAGATTTTCAGTTTTAATAGCAAGTTGATTTCACACACCAGAATATAAATACCAGGTCTTCTTTCTTAGACTCCTTTGTCTCGTATGTGGCATCATACAAAGCATATCGGCAATCATTCAACGGTAACAACTTCACAAAGGCTGTGTAGGGGTCTTCCACAGTATCGCCAATATCACCAACTAATATCTGCTTTGTTTCCTCTACAATTATCTGTTTTTTGTCATCACTTAAGCAGAAAAGAACTGCTTTCTTTCTTTTTTTAATCTCTTCTGGGGTTGAAGATTTCCTTACTTTCATGTCATTAAAAACCTTTATAACTTCGTCATTCACTGTTACTCCAGAAGCCTGTAAATGAGATGAAGGGAATAATTATTTAAATGCAGAACGACTAACATTGACTATGGGGAAGATATTACCTGACACTAAATAAAGAGAAATCTACTCTATAATTTAAGAACAAAAATTTTACACTAAAACCTGAACACTCTAGAACCATAATGATGTCAGTGGGGTTGTATTAGGTAAAAAACTGTACAAAATTTTTTCCTAATTTATTCATTATTTTATCTCAGCATCGTCTCCTTTTCAGTTATTGATCCTAAATAACTGGGTTTCCATTGCACATATCAACCAATTATCTATTAGTTTATCATATATTTGGCTCAGCCAGGGGTGGGGTTTTTTGTTTGTTTTGTGGGGTTTTTTTAGTTGGAACAAATGTTATACCAGCAGTTCATATCCAGTAGTGTCATGATTCTAGTTTTGTTGAGTGATGTAAGGCTCTAGAAGCAGTAGAAATGCCTTCTGAGTTGTGTCAACTGCAATGTTATGTTTTTAAAACTCCTTTCTTTTACTTAATGCTGATGCACTAACAAAAAAAAAAAAAAAAAAAGCTACTGCAGTTTCTACATGAGGAAAGTACAAATTGTACAACACACTACAGTAGTTCCAAACCATTCAGAACCCTAATGTAAAACAGTAAGGAAACAATATACTGAGAGAGCTGACAGCAAACTCACTACAACAATTTTAGCTTGTTACTTATAAGCTAGCTAAACACATCCATATGGCCCTTGTTTTCAGTTCATTACATTCTTTATTAAAAGACAGCAGTTTCCAAGGTACAGCATGCTGTTTTCAAGAAACCAGGTAAATAACACATTAAAAAAATAACAAGCCTGCCCCTTTTGGAATATAATCTATACCTTTTCCTAGTTTAGTTATAGGAAATACATTTTATTTGAAGAAATGAAGGTTTTACTAGCCCATCTCCACTATTAAACTCGGATTTGCTTGCAAAAGTCTTATTAGAAAGATGGTTATGTAAACCTTAAAAAAAAGCTTAACTGCTAGTGCATTGACAGCTTAGACTGCTCACTCCCAATTCCCCCTCTGAAAGAGGAAACAATGCAGCTCCATTGCCCTCTCTTCCCCACTGGAAAGCGATGCAGGTTTCTGGGGGAACTGCAGCTAGTGAAGTCAGTCCGACAGGGCTGACTGCTCCCTGAACGCACCCTGCCCACTTTAAAGTCGGGTTTAGCCCACGAAAGCTTATGCCCTAATAAATGTGTTAGTCTCTAAGGAGCCACAAGTCCTCCTCGTTGTTTTTAAATAATCTGTTCCTCAGCCCCCTGCCCCGCCACATGATATTTGGCAGCACAAACTCCCCCTGCGGTGGGGAAATCAAGCAGGCAGGGCCGGGGCCCGAGGCTCTGCAGCAGCAGCGTCAACCCCGCGTCCTCCACGGGGAGAGACGCACTGAGCCAGAGGCGATGAGCCTCAACCCCCCTCCCGCAATCGCCCCCACAAACCTCCCACCCGCAGCGCGCCCGGCAGGCAGACCCCCGCCCCGGGGGGACCCTGCCCCCGCGATCACCTCGGCTCCCACAGCCGTTCGCCCCCGGCTCACCGGAGGGGTCCGCCCGCCGTGGTGAGCTCAGGCTGGGATCAGCCCTCCCCTCACGCACCACCCCACTCGTCCGCAGCGGCCAGGCGGCAGCCCCCGCCAGCCTCCCGGGCCGAGCCCCGCAGCCTCCCCCCGCTAAAATTAGATTAAAATGGCCGCTGAAGGCTTCGGGGCCTGAACACCGGCCCGGACCCGCTCAGCCCCTCACCGCGCCGGGCCTCCCGCCCTCCGCGGGCCCTGGCCGCCGCACTGCCCCGAGCACGCCCCGCCCTTACCATGGTGCCGGGTCCCTGTGGCGACGGCGGCTGCCTGCAACGCTGGGATGCTGCTCGCACGGAGCGCGCGGGGGGCTGGGGCGAGGTGGGCGGGGGGACGAGTCACATGGGCGCCGCGGCCGCCGCCTTCACCACCACGTGCCGCGGCGACCCTCCCAGCCCGCTCCGCAAGGGGGGAGGGGGATGGGCCCCTGCCTCGGCGCGCGGCCGGAGCCGGGGGGCAGCGCCTGTGCTACGCCAGCCCCGCCCCGCCTCGCCTCGCGGCCCTCGCCGGCGTATTGACCTCTCAGCCCAGCCCTCCAGTACCCCGCCGGGCATCCCTACGCCGAACTACCCGGGCCCCTGAGGGGGCACCGCCATACCCCCCTCCCAGCCCGGGGTCCTCAGGAGAGCATTCATCTACCTGGGGCACACCCCACATCCATCTGCCCGGGGCCCCCCTCACACCCACCAGGCTGCCCTCAACTGTTGCCTCCCCCACCGGACTGTTGGACGGGGGTGATATCACACATCCCTTTCCCCGCCCCGCGGGAGGTGCCCCCTCCACATCTTCCATACGGATCTTGTGATCCCCAACCCCCTTCTAGGGGTATTATCGCCCCCCCCCCCCACTCTGCGCCACGACTCTGCGCCTTTCACAAACATCCCCTGCGGACGCGCGTGTGTGTGCGTGTGTGCGGAGTCCCTCTTAGCTGGCAGGCACAGAGGGGAAATCAGAGCCTTCCCTTTAGCAATGATGCGTAGGTGAATGCATTTGAAGGCTCTCAGCACGGGACTTTGCAAACGCTAAATAACCCCGAGAGCCCACTGGTGGGGTAGCGGGATACATAAGATGTTCTGTTCCGGTTGCTGGAGAGCGCTTGCTGTATCATCGTCCTCCTCCCTCCCCTTCTGCTGTCCCTGCAGTGCTGTTGGAGCCAGAAGTTTGGATCTCGGGGTCCCATTGCTACCTGAAAAGTTCCGAGTAAAGTAGGTTGGACATTTGACAAAAATGGAAATTAACTTTTTCAGCGTTTTTCATTCTTTTTTTTTTTTCCGGGTAACTTCCTCCTGCGGAGTTGGGAATAACCACTGTAGGGTGAGTGGAAAGTTCTAGCTGGCCTTGAGTCTGTTACTAGTTAAAGGTAAAAGGAGTGGTGTTCAGTTGGATTTTAATTCCTTATAACACTTAAGGACAAGATTTGTCTAACGGTGGGGGGAATACCATGAGTTTGGTGGTACAATAAGATGACAACCCTAAATACTGTACATAGCCCAGCCTGTTAAACTCTGCTACTTCAGATCCCACCTATTTTTTTTTCTTTTCATTTCTTTTTTTTCTTCTTCTTCTTCTTCCAGTCAGGTACTTGGAAACAAACTAAACTGGGGGTGGGGAGCCTGGGGCACTTGCTATCTTTTTTCCTAGACTTTTCCCAAGAAACTTGGGTTGCACTGGCGAAATTAAAAATAAATTACATATGTGGGATTTTGATCTTTGTTTTGTAGTGTATATCAAAGTTAATGTCTTGGGAAAGGACCATGTGTCTTTTTTAATGTTATGACTACTTTGTTATTATGGTCCTCTCCAGAAAGTACCAGACCTGTTTGTAACATGCATATTGAAGGGTTTCTTTACTTGATGTATGTTGCTACCATCACCCAGTTCTTGTTGTTTTTTTCAAGATAGAGTGGAATTTCCCAATATCCTACCTGTGCTTCTCTTTTAAAGTGTACTGTTTGTAAAGGGAATAAAATAAAACTGTTTATCCATTTATATTTCCTTTACTTGCAAGTAACACTGCAACTAGTTAATTAAATATGTTTATTTAAACACAATAAAAAAGGAATAGAAAATATATATTCAAGAAACTCAGAAACCAGTATCAGATAAATGGGCAAAGTTTACCCCCATACTTACTAGCCAATCTAGAAAACAGAAATTTACTCTTCAGTAATAATAATGCTTGGCACTTATGCTTTGCTTTGGGTATTCAAAACCCTGTACAAACAATTTTACTGTTTACTCCCCTATACTTTATAAATGATTGTGCCTCTATTAACATGTCCCGATCCATGTGTATGTGAATGGTCTGTACTCACGTGGGGATGCTCATTGAATTCAGTGTGACTATTTGCACATGGGCCACTTATGGACTGAATTGTATCCTTGATTTATTCAGCCATGCAGCAAGTAAGTTCTCCACTCCACATGGCAAAGTGAGATCTTCCTGGACCTTGGGTCCAGATCTAGTGTGGTGCATGGTCCCTTCACTTTGGATATTCCTCCCTATGAGGAAGTGGGGCCAGTAGGAGGCAGAGAGAGCTCAGGATTGGGCAGAGCCTAAAATAATCCCATTTTCTTCCCTGCAATCTTTTGTTGACCAGCATAATTGGGTTGGCATGGGTTGGGAAGTAAGCTGTATCCATTACAGGGTTATAGCAGAACTGCAGAGTTATGAACACCTCGGGAATGGAGGTTGTTCATAACTCTGAAATGTTCAGAACTCTGAACAAAACGTTTTGAAAGAACAACCATAAGTTTACAACTGAATAGTGACTTAATACAGCTTTGAAACTTTACTACACAGCAGAAAAATTCTGCTTTTAACAGTCTTAATTTAAATGAAACAAGCACAGAAACAGTTTCCTTACCTTGTCAATTTTTTAAAAACTTTTCCTTTATTTTTTTTAGTACATTTATGTTTAACACTGTAAGTACTGTACTGTATTTGCTTTTTGTTGTTGTTGTTGTCTTTGCTGCTGCCTGATTGCATAATTCTGGTTCCAAATGAGGTGTGTGGTGGATGGGTCAGTTCATAAGTCTGGTGTTTGTAACTCTGAGGTTCTCCTGTAATTCTTCCCAGGAGCAATTTCTAAGGCTCCTCCTCTCTTCATTAACATTTAATTAAGCCACAGGACAGCTCTGCATCATAGGTATTACTGTCCCCAGAGAGGTTAGGTGACTTTCCCAAGGTCTCCAAGGAAGGCTGTGTCAGAGCCAGGAATAGCTCTAGACTCCAGTTCTGTGCTTTGAACACAAGAACATCCTTCCTTGTTAGCAACTGTGTAGTGTGCAGGTCAATTTCTTTCTTTAGAATTTGGTCTCCAAGCCAAAGGCAAAGCAAAACCTTCCCTAGCTCTGACTGTACTGCAGCAGTTTCATCCTGGCACTCGTGCTCCTCCCCATTCTAAAATTTCTGTGGAATTTATTGTGGTGATGTTGACTGATATTTCTACACTGTGTTAGGTATACAGAAACCTGTTTTATCATTTTAAATGTCAATATATATATTCTCTAATTTCAGGTAAAGTAAACATGAGGTGGCTTCAGTAGCAGAACTGGTTCCATTTAAGACAACGGGAATTGCTGAAAATGACTTTGTGAAAAGAAAATATAAGAGGAGACACTGTGCATTTCTGAGAGGTACAGTAATATGTGGCATTTACAGTACAATGGTAATAGAATGGTAATAGAGTCAAAGGGACCTTTAGAAAACTTCAGCTGGATCACGGAAAATTGCCAGTCTGTTCTGGATAAATGGACCATAATAGTAAACTGCTTTTACAGTCAATAATAATTAATGCAAAAGCCCAGAAATGTTTTGCAACAATCAAGGAGCAATTTGATGAGATGTTCTGGTTACTTGGAAAACCTTATTTGAATCATCCATCCAGTGTGTGTTCTCATTGCACATGCAACATTATTAACCTTTTCCCATAAAAGGGGCAAGTTATAACAAATGCTGCAACTACCTAAAAAGTGCAAGGCACTTAAAATGAAAAACACACACACACTGTGGAAAAAAACAACCAACCAACCAACCCCTTGTTTTTGACTTATTTTAGCCAGATAGCAGTTCATTTTATTTGAAATCTTTTATTCTTCCTGCATAAAGACAGCTTTTAGGACTTGATCCTGCACAGATCTGCATTTATAAATGTAAGGTAAAAAGTAATGAGCATGATAAGGAATTTGGGGGATTTTGATCCTAAATTCATGAGCATTGCTGGAAGCTACCAAGTCAGTTCTGCCTAATCGCACAAGTGAGGCCAAAGAGAGCGTATGTAGGTAAACACCTGATTTCCATGACGGGGATCATACCTAAGCCTATGTCTTCTCAGACACACACACTCATTCTCTGTCCATATCCTTTTTCACCCTGTGAGAAAGAGAGTGAGCTCCCAGGAGGCTTGAGACTTACTATTGTATGAATCAGTGTGCTAAACCATATTTAATCTTACTTGCCCTCACATTTGCACAGGAGTTTAACAACCTTGTGATCCTTGCTGCCACCATGCAAGGACACACATGCGTAATGTAGAGTAGATTCCACTAATACACTTGCTGGTTTCTGTCAAGATTTTCCAGTGAAGCAATAAAGTTTTGGTACCTAAGGTCATGAGGACGTTAATCAGTATGATGATCCTGGGAGCTATTTTTTTCCCAATAACATTTTCAACCTCCGCTACTTCTACAAGTATGCCTCTGTGTTTATGGCAAACGTTCTTTGCTACTGCACTCAGAAAGAAGTTGTGTAATATTACAGTAGATGCTCACTAGACCACTGTCATATGCCTTGTTTAAGCGGTGTGCCTGACACCACTGTAATGTCTTTTTGCTTAGCACATTCTTCATCAGCATTCAGTAGATTTTTGCTTTTCTCGTCTAGGTCCTAATCCACTTCAGGGACAGTCTGTAGGTTAGCAATTCAGAGATCTGTCTCACCTTCTGTATATAGTGAGTTACATTTTGCACTGTTACAGCAAGATTTCAACAGATCTGTAGCAGCGTAAGAACACAATTTGGTCCATTTGCCTTTGAATACAGATTGGATAAAGAAAGAACTGTGTCAGGGTTTCACAGCTTGTTTAATAGTGTACTCAGCAATTGGTTCTTCACTTGCTATTATACGAAAGGGGAGTAAGAGATAAAGCTTTGACATACAATAGATACATGACTTTGGCAATTCTTTGTATAGGGACATATCACCAAAAATAGACCTACACCAACAGTTGCTACAATAGTGGGTGTGTGATCGGATGTGCAAACTTCCCACTGGAGAAGAAGGAGTCAAGGAGCTGCTGTGGGCCTAAGTGGCCCTGTCCCACCTGACCTGCACAAGCTGGAGGAAGAGCTTAAAAAGGGAACCAGAGTAGCTCAGTGACAGGCAGACAGGGGAGGTGAGCTGACCTGTGCTCTGAACTCCTGGGAAGGAGCAGCACAGAAGCTTTTGCTGCCTAAGGCCTGGTGATACTGACCTGACCAAGCCTGCAAAGGAGGGACTGGTGACTTCTGGAGGTCAGAAACTTTATTTTTGTGTTTGGTCCTTTACCCTGTGGGAAAAAAGGGCATTGCTAGGAAGTGATCCAAGGAGGTGGCTACATAGCACCCCAACATGCAGGCTTAGCTGCCTGTCACTGAGCCCTGGATCAGAGCCATGTGGAAAAGGTGGGCCCAGGTTCCCCTACCAGCCCCTAAAGAGGGAAAGACTCCAAGACCTTGACCCAAGGGGGAAGCCCTTGCTGACTTCTCATGACTTCCACTTTATTGGACTCTTTGTGTACCCCAAAAGGGGTGGACTTGAACATGTGACCCTGCTGGAGGGCTGAGTCACTAAAGGACAGACCACCACGTAAGAGAGTGGAATGCCCGGGAGGAAGACAACGTGCCATACCTGTGCCTGACAACTAAGTGGCACTGGCAGTGAGTTCCCCTTTGCAGGGTGCTTAATATTCTTCCTAGTTAGATCTTAGTAACTGGCTCATGTGTGAGAGCAGCGCCTAGTGTTATGTATTCAAGGCTGTTTTTTCTTTTGTTGTAGCCATGTCTGTCCCAGGATATTAAAGAGACAAGGGGGTGAAGTAATATCTTTTATTGGACCAACTTCTGCTGACCTGCAGAAGAGCTCTGTGTGAGTCCAAAAGCTTGTCTCTCACCAACGGAAGTTGGTCCAATAAAAGATATTACCTCAGCAATCTTATTTTCTGAAGTTTATATATTCAACATCATTGTGGGTGTGATCCTTCTTTCATTGAAGAGGATGGATTTTTTTTTTTTAATATGGCAGTGTGATCAGGATCTGGACATTTGTTATATTCTCCCTTCTGATAACCTCAGCATATGCTAAAAGGTTGTGTTAATGCTGGATGTTTCCTCACATACTAGTAGGGTCATTTTGTAGCTGACTAGGTGCACAGGCAGGGAAGTGGATAATCTGTACACAGCTACACTTGCAGTTCCCTGTGCTAGGTGGGGTGTTTGGACTGTTCCCTTCCCTCCCTGCCCCCTTGTGATTCCTGGGGTGCAACCCACCCCAACAGGGAAGGCCGTAGCCCTGCCTTCCTTCCACACTGGCCTGCAAAGCAGAATCCGTGCACATGGGGGAGTATGCTGCATTCCCTGGAGGCACACAGCAGTAGGTGTGCATGCTGTGGAACTAAGGGAGCAATTTTGCCATCCAGAGACAACATTTCTCCTAAAGCTTTGCTGAGGTGGTATGGTGCTATATTGACCTTTTTCTGGGCTCTGTGCAGAGTACACAATCTGGCCAATAATAAATGATAACTCTCCACATTTCTGTAGTGCCCTTCTCTGAAGAATTCAAAGTGCTTTATGAAGATTAATTTGAGTTCTACAGCTGAAAAGTGCCTTTTAAAGTGCTAAGTATTTTTAATTATTAACTCAGCCTCGGAACACCCTTTTGACTTGGGTGTCAATCTTAGCTATTTGTATTTAGAGCTGGAAGAAATTTTTTTGGCAAATAGTAAATTTGCTGAAAAATAAATTTTTGGGGACAGAGAAACTAATTGCAAATTAAGGTTGAATTCAGTGAATAGCTTTGCCAAAACACTAACCCCGAAAAACATTTAGGAAATGTCAAAACAATTTGTTTCAAAATGAACTATTTGGACATTTTGGTTTGAAACATTTTTTTTATATGAAATGTCATTTCAAAATGTCATTTCGCAATGTTTCATTTGACCCAAACAATTTTTTTTTGTTGTTGGGGGGGGGGAGGGAAACCAAAATTCACTTTTTATATATATATATTTAAAAAAATTCTCCTATAATACATTACTTTAGGACCTGGGACAAAACACCAAATATTGTGAGATTGATAATAAAATTGTGAGAGTTGGCAACAATGTTTAAGAAAGCACTTCTAACTAAATAGTTCTCTTTCCCCATGTGGTGTTAGTCTTGACATAACTACGTACCCCCCAGACAAATATTTTTGGCAAAATTAGCATTTTGTGACAACTTGGTGTAAGTGTTCTGGAAAGAAAGGCATGTTTAAAAGGATTTTAAATCCCAACTAAATGTACTAGAACAGCTGTATAGTTGCCAAACTTCATTAAAGGTTTGGAGAGTGAAGGGTTAACTAGCTCAGCACAGGCTCAAAAGGAACACATGGGGCTGCTCAAGGTCAGCTTAGGAACAAAAACTGCCAAATGGGGGGGGTGCCATGGGAGTGTGACAGCACATACCCAAATAAGGAGAAGAGGATGAGGAGCAACTGCATTAATTAATTGAGAAGCTTCTGGAAGCTATGAGGGTTGTATACAAAATATATAGGTGGTGGGGGATGAGGGGTTATATGTATGTCAGGACACAGTTTTCAGGAGGCACAAGAAGAAGAAAACCAGTGAAAGGAAACTAGAGTTTTCCTATGGGATCTATAGCCACACAAAAAGCAGGAAAATGGACAGCAGGAACCAGCCACTCTTTAAGCAGGAGGCCATGAGGTGGTCAGAAAACACCAGACTGCTCGATTTCCCCCCCCCCCCATTTGCTAAATTTGCCTTGCATCTTAATTGCTAAAACATATATTCATAATTATTTTGTTGTTTTTTCAAGCATCCTAAAATGTCCTAGGTAACTGTAATGGGGTTCACTCACCACTAGGGTGCCCTGTTATGGCTGGGTCTGAGGAATTAACTCTTCTGATCTAGCACAAGCACCTCCTTTTGCTGCTCACTCACCCCATGGCCTATCTCACTCTCCAAGGCTCGAGGTGCACTTGAGCACGCTCACGCTCTCTCTCTCTCTCAAACAAACAGCCTTCTGGCTAGTTCACTATAGTCTTCCCCTTACAGAGTAACAAAGTCTCAACAGACAAGCTGTCTAGGTGCCATTCAGGCAGTTTTTCCATTCAACTCTGTGCCACTTTCCTAGTGGCTGGTAAGGGAATCTGGGCCTCCCTTCTACTCCAAGTTCCTGCCCAGGGACCCTACAGTTAACAAGCAAGGTCAACCCTTGCTGTCATTTCCCTAGGTTTCTTCCTATTCTTCCTTCTGCTAGCTTTCTTCTACACCTGCCTCATCAGGGCCTCTGCTCCTCCCTGGGTTTGCTGCTGCTGCTCTCTCCAATAGGCCCAGACAGTGACTGCAGATTTCCAAACTGCAGCCCCTACTGCTCCCACT